TTTTTGAGTCCGACATCTGTCAGAGTTGATGTGGACCCCAATCCCCGGAAAAAAGAATTATTGATCCGCCCTTGGTATACTAACACTAAAGAAGATTATTAAACATATCTCCAGCACTTAGCATATATATATATATCTTATTCTTCATTTAATTCTTTTTCTCAGGACCCCTGACATTGTGAGGATAGAATAGGCTTTGAACACGTTTTTAAGCTCATTTCATACATGTATTATCTAAAAATTAAAAACATTATGTTAAAATTGATATCAAGAATAGGTTAGCTCATGACTTTTTCATTTTATCATTTATCTTAATATTTTTGGATTTCATATTAACTTCCCTGGACAGTACTTATCGGTAAATGTCAGCACTTGTTTAAGTTTTTCAGCAGGGACAGTAAACGGGCCAGTAATTGTCTAAGTTTTGCAGTAAAGATAGCACATTGTCAGTAATTGTCTTAGTTTATCAGTAAAAAATGGGAATGTCAGTACGTTTCTGACTTAGTAGTGTTTGCCATGAACTGCAATACCTGGGCATCAGTGTTTCACAAACACGTCTTGTTCAATATCCAAACTGGACAAAAAACATTCACAACTAGATGCTGTCATAATGCAGTAATACCCGCACTAATAGGTTTGCCTCTAAATGCAGGCACGTAGCATCCGAGGGGGGGGGGGCAAAGGGGACCTGCCCCCCCCACTGTTTTCGAAACATAACTGGTGGTTGCCCCCCCCCCCCACACACTTTTTGTTGCATAATAGTCAAATAAAGGTAATGTAGTAGCGTGTATATAAAATTGGGGTACTGAAAGAAGTTGGAACCCCCTCCCCACCCCCACCCCCCACCCCCAACGAAATAGGATTTGTGAATTTTTAAAAAAACATTTGGCTCGTCAAATTTTTTCAGGTAAGTTGAAATTTTTTTCTCTGGCTAACCCCCCCCCCCCCCCCCTCCACTTTCAAAAACGTTGCTACGTCCCTGAAATGTGCTCTGACTGCTCTCCTTCAAATTCTGGTAACCAGGGAAGAAGCACACATTTAAATCAAGCATAAAATGCTCAGGTGAACATGCAGCCCATATGGGCCTCTTATGTAAATCAGGTGCGGATCCAGGAATTTTTTCCAGGGGGATCCAACCCAGAAATTTCTTGACAAGCAAAAACAAAAAAAACAAAACAAAACAAAACAAAACAAAACAAAAAAAAACAAAAAAAAAACCCACTTAAACTCCTTTCCCAAATTTGAAAACCTATTTCATGGTGGTGGGGGGGGGGGGGGGAGGGAGGGAAAGAGGGGGCTTTGGCCGCTCACTTTTTAAGCTTCATATACATGTATATAACTTTTCATACCAACTTAACAGGGGTCCGTGTTTTCTAAGGGGGGGGGGGGTTCCAAGGTCTCTTTTAGTTGTTTTCATATATAGATTTCGTATATAGGTTCCCGACCCCCCTCCCCCTCTAGATCCGCGCATGTAAATATTTCATTACCAGTCTGATATTACCTAATAATGTAAATTCTGGAAAAAAAGAGAGAATTTTTGAAAGATTTGTGTAAAAAAAAAAAAGGGGGGGGGGTAATTTTCTACCCATACTTGGAACTTGTTGAATACATTGTCAAAACAACAAATATTATTATTTTGGTGCATAGCTTTTTTGATGAACTTAAAAAAAATTAGCTGCCAAAATGACAACTTGTGCAAATTTTTATCAGTATTTGGGTAGGACTCGGAGAACCCCTTTCCAAATCTTGACCCAATCAACTTTGTCAAAAATCACCCCCCCCCCCCCTCCCACGATTCACTCGTTTTCCTGTCATATTTAGAATAGATAACACAAACTTATGAAGAAAAAAATTGTAAGTAATTATAATATAAATTTTACAAATGTACACCTTTTTGGAAAATTTCTAGACTCGTGAGTGGAATTACGTCACACCGCGAGCACTAATTTTACCGTTATCATTATTGTTTTGCAATTGGTGTATGTACATCATTTTTACCACTGGGATTATTAATATATAGTGTGTGTTTTAAATGGATTTATTATTCCATCAAGTTAACAGTACCTATAACAGGCGGTAAGTACATTATGAATATATTATTTTAAACGTTTAGTATAGAACGGGGTTTGTTTTTTGTTTCACGTCCTTCTCGAGAATTTTTCACTCATATGGAAACGCAGCCGGTGGAGGGCTGCAAATTTTAACGTAGTGTCGACACTTAGGGCCATTGAGCAGTGAGGGATCTTTTTTCGTGCCAACAACTACTGAAACACGAGACATCGGTTTATACAGTCTCATCCGAAGAACTGATCTCCACATCCGGCAGTGGATTTGAACCCGCGACTTAAGGATCAAACCCTTACTCCACGACTCTAGAGCAGACGTTCTAACCACTGCGCCACACGAGCGACTAGAACGGGGTAAAATAATCAGAAATGAAAATGGTTAGTAGCCTATAGTTGGAAAAGGGGTCAAAGATCATTGGAATGCCACAATTGTACAAATTATACAATGAGGCAAATCCCTGGGGTCATTCCACTCGATCTTTGGAACCGGAAACAATAAAATAGCTTTCATTAAAGCAAAAGCCCATAAGTCATCTTTGTATTATAGCACACTAAATAGGATATATGGGGTCAAGACCCCCAGAGGTCATTCCCAACCCCTAAAACTACAAATGATCATATACATTATCTTGAAAATGGTTGAAAACTCTCCCCTTAACCATATATAATATTGTCTCTCGAGTCATTATACATTAAGGACCCTCTCTACACTGCACCCTATTTTCAGGGTACTTTTGTGTAATTAGACTGACCTACCATTTGACATACAAGTAGAATAAATTGTAATCTGAACTAAATCACATAGTTTGAAATAAATCCAAGTATTCTAAACATTATATTAGACCAAGATAGAGTATTTGAAAACTTTATTTGCATTTGTTTTATCCATTTGAGTAAGTGAAGGCATTTTTTCTTTTCTATTACTTTATTGTCTTTGAAGATTTTTCCTGAATAAAAATGGCACGCTCCCTATATTAAAAATGAGTTAGTTAATTTCAAAATTGAATCGATTCAATAACAGTGATGAATTTGAAGAATAATTTCAATAAAAGAGATCCGCATAATTTCACTGGAAAATGACTTAGACACCCATAACATGCCATCAAAAAGAGCTTCCATATATTGTCCTAGTTTTAAAGTAAGCCGTCGATTGTAAAAGTCAGCGCTTCTCACAAAAGTCATCTTTAATTCTATTTCGTGGGCAAATAATTTCAATATTGGTGAGAGTTTTGCAAGTTATGAAGATTTTACATGAAGTATATTGGTTAGATGAGATATCAAAGTAAATTTGTTATAATTGAGATTTAATTTTTCACTTAAATGTTTTGTCGCACTATAATCATTCTGCACGCCTTGTTCATCCATCTTCCTTAAAAAGGTTACTCGAAGAAAAAAAAATCATTAGAAAAAGTCTTCCAAACAGGAACCCATTAATGTTTCTGCTCTGTCAGAAAAAAATACGCATGTTCTGTTCGTAATGAAATACAACCTGGGCGTCTGAAACTCAGTTAAGACATCTTTCTTGCAGGAATGACATGAAATTAAAATCAAGGTAGCAATAAATTAAAGAAGATGGTAATTCTTAGCCGCAGTATTGATCAAATTCAAAGTCGTATATCAAAATACACGATATGCAAAGGTCGGAAGCGACGAATTAATCAATATCCAAGAAAATAATTTGATAGGTGAAAGAATTTATTCAACAAAAATACAAATAAAGTAACAATGCACTAAATACAACCATTATGCGGTGGTACATTCGAAGATGATTGATTGACTATATGTTGTTTTACGTCCTATTCGAGATTTTTTCACTCATATAGAGACGTCACCATTTACCGGTGAAGGGCTTCAAATTTTGACCTTTACTCGGCACTCAGGGCCATTGAGCAGTGAGGGATCTTTATTGTGCCAACGCCTGCCGTGACACGGGGCCTCGGTTTTTAAGTTCTCATCCGAAGGACCCGCAACTTTCACTTCAAAGTACCGAGCGCATGGCAAAGGAACAGTTGCCACCTATTTTTGATCGACTTGGGTCTGTCGCGGCCGAGATTCAAACTCACGACCTTTCGATCGCGGAGCGAGCGCTACATTCGAAGAAAGCAACAGCAATTTTTAGCTTCTTTACATCGGATATGCCGTAATAATTACTCCATTTGCCGCGTGATGGAGTCAAAGACTTTTTTCAGCGTCAATCCTTGAAAAAACACATATTTATTTTGGCATTTCACAAATGAAAAACGAATTGTCCACTATTTTTACCATTATATGCAATAGTTAAATAAAATGTTAAATTCTATTGACCTAGCTTTACCCATTCATATAAGGTGACTATCTGATTCCTTTGTTTGAACAAATGTCGATTCCTCGTCACAAAACAAAAGACACAGGTATTCAGGCGTAATTTAATGTTAAAAAAACACACCTTAATTTGTTGGCAATTTTAAGTTTAAATATATAAGAAGTGCAATGATACAAAGTCCTGGTTATCTTTAAGTTCATCTCATGTTATCCTTCAAGCTCTGTTGTTCCTTTGCCAAATATTGTAAAAGTGACTTCCTAATAGTGTTCATGTAATTACCACGATAATTAAAATTGTATTTTTATCATGGTCATGATGTTAATACAAATTCTTTATTAAAATACATCGATGCAATAAATTTTATACGTTTTTTTTTCTTTCATCATCACAGAAACAAGAAGCTTCCTGTACTCCCAGCAAGGTTTCAAATTTTCCCACTACCCAGTGGAAATCTCAAGGTGGCCTCCTTACTAACTTGCATCCCACTTTGTCCGGGTATTCAAACGAGAATTGTTCTGTTTTTATTTTTAGGGGTGATATGACTATTAATTAAAGTTTTAAAATTGGTAGTTATAGATCAAAGTCCTGTGCTCTTGGTTGATGATGTAAGACTAATTTATGCTATAATTGTATTTCGATGGAGCTTAGTCAGGGCCCCATCCCTGGCAGCTGCCATAAAGATTCGTGTAGGGAATTCAAATGTTATAGTATAGGTCTGGGAAATAAAATTAAAAAAAAAAAAAAAAAAAAAGTATGAATCATCTTTCAGGTTTGACCACCATTTGTATAAAAATATTACTAGTAATCTATGTATACATGGACATAGCTCTCATTAAAAAGGGAGAGTTATATGTACTTGAATATGTATCAATAATTTCAAATGTACATGTACTTATTAGTTCCTTAAGTGTCTGTACTGTACCTATACATTATTTACTTTTATATATAATTCCCTCTAAGATATTCACGTTTCTGTATATGTCTGTATATATGGATTACAGTGTCCCGCCATGATCCGACCCAGAGAAGATGTGATCTGTGATCATAACTTATGGTGTATGGATCTTTTATTCCTTGTTCTTCTGTCAGTAGCACTGACAGGAACTGACCATCTTTGTCTATGATTTGTACGGTCCTGCTGTAAGATTCACAAACTAGGATGTGGGCCAGAGCATCTGTACAAATTCCATATGGTCTAAATTTTGACCCTTGTGAATTTCCTTTGAAGGAGAAGCGATGTGTTCCAATAGAGTCTGTCACCACTATAACACCTAAGCCAGAGTCATTTTTATTCAAATCAGAAACAATCACATCTCCATTGAGGTTTTCTGTGATATATCTGGGATTATCGTACAGTTCCTGACCTGGGTTGTGTCGGAGTTTTTGTCCTTTACTGTTGTATCGTCCTACCTTGGCTTTATTTGTATCCGAACTCATCATCCCAATAAGGAAATCTCCATTTAAGGGAGAGCAGTAGAGACAGAATGGTTTCCAAGGTTCTGCTATCATCCTTAATGTAGACTTAGTTTTATTGTTCAACGAGAGTTTGTTGATTTTGTAATACGTATCTATGTATACAAGATTGCCTTCTCTAGTCACTGTGTGTACACCATCCTTGATTATGTCGATATATTTAATGTCAAGATAATGTAAACTTTCACCCGTTGTGTCTGTCAAGTTTAAATCGTTCCAACTGCTGACCCAGGCAGTGTCTGGTGTCACACAGGAAATATGACCAATAAAATTAGACATAAACCATTTACTCTTCACCTTGAAAGATTTCTGTAACACTGGTGGAGACACCACTTTATATATCTGTTCATTTCTTACTTCTCTTTTTCTGGTCTCTGTAACTTGGATTCGTCCCAGGCAATTGAAAACATTAGCTTTGTTGATTTCCTCACTCAGAGAGTGAACTGTGACTATTGATGTACTGGGAGTGTCATTTATATTGAAAACATTGGTTTCCTTAAAGAATAAAAGAAACTGTATCGCTCTGTTTGCTAACTGTTCAGTCATGCATACACGTTTTTGTATGGATCTTATGCGTCTTCTTTGCTGTTTCTGTTTAGAGTTGAAGTAACATTTTAGTTTTACCCTGGTGTCCTCTGTAACATCTTCCAATACTATATCTATCTGATCCTTCAGTCTTTCAGCTTTGATTATCATATTTTTCTGGAGTTTGGAGATTTCTGTTTGACAAGATCTGAAATCAGAATTGATTCCTGACTGGATACCACGATTATGCAGCATGATCTCACTTTTTACAAGAACAGTTCTTTGCTGGTGTTGTTTTTGCTGAATTTTATACACCAATTTTATATCCTGAGGTATATGACTTACGTGCTCTACACAGTTAGAACAAATAGGAAGCTTACACAAAAGGCACCACATTTCACAGGCCATGTTTGGGTGTTTCTCACAAGTCTCTAGTAACATAAAGTCTCCATATTTTAAGCGATCAATCACTACATTGTGGAGTTTTGTGTCAAAGTCTATTACATGTTCCTCCTTACAGGGTACACATAAATCTTGTTTACATGTCCTGCAGTAGTATTCTGCACTGCTCCTACACTGTGAACATTCTGGTGGTTTCAGCTGTGTTGGGGATGATTTATTCATAATGCTATAGAAATATTAAGTGTATCAGCCTCTTTTGGTTGTTCAATTTTCTTCCTTGGCTTTTTAATATTGTGGAACAAACTACAAATAAACAAGAGACTAAATTTCACAAAATTAATAATCTAAAATAACTTACTTTTTTTGTAAATGTATACGTAATGAAACCAAAACTTTGGCCGAAAATTATCAAGATAGCACTTGTGTGAAATTGTGAATATATATTTAGATTTTATATGAATTTACTAAGTACTTACAAGTGCATTTAATAATTTTTATTGGGCTTTAAGAATTCATTATATGCCTGCAAATCTTTCATCTAGATATCTATATCTCTTAGCTGCTACGCTATTTCCATTCACAGTTCAATCACTACATTTAAAATGATATCATTCCTATTGTATTTATACATGTACTGTACTTTTTCAAATTTATAATTAAAATTATATTTCCTCTTTCATTTGATGCTAAATAGTTTTCTAGGACATATTAGTCACATTTATACAATAATCTTTAAACGATATGCATTAAACACCTTAAAAGATATCAAAACAATCGCCTTATCAAACTAGATATATGCCTACTTGTACAGGTCTGGTACAATCACTAGATTTAGCTACGTAGCTTTATTTACCTACCTGAAGTAGCTTTATTTAGCTGCTAAATCAAACTTATTTCTTAAAGAAGAATTTTTCCCAGAAAGTGCAGAAAATTGCACTTTGATGTAGTGATAATTTTCAACTTTGAACTCATCTGAAAACAATTCATGAAAAAATCACTGTTGGAGATGTGTCTTTTTTTGCGCAATTGCAATCAAAGTTCTAAAAGTTTTGGGGCTATATACAACAGTTAATTTGTGACCTAACAGTTACTTCTTGAGTGTAATAACAAAGAAAACCAGTTTTGGTTAACATGAGCACAATGTGAAGTTATCATACTTATCCACGCCTCATCGTGCACAAGGTGTGTACAGTTACTCAAACAATGGGAATACATATTTTCCTTAAAAGTGATCAAACGCAGCAATGTTAAAACTATCTCTGCTTTAGATTGCTTTTTAAATGATACCTAGAATAAATATTAGTACACATTTTCTTGCGACTTTTTGTCTTTTTAAAATAAAAAGCAAAATTGTTAAAAGTTGCCTTGAAATAGCTAAATAAAGCTACCTGAGGTAGGTAAATAAAGCTACGGTAGGTAATTTTAGCTACGTAGCTAAATGTACTGATTGTACTGGACCTGTTGTACCTGAATAATAAACTTCTTCAGTTCATTTGTATGTGTGTAGCCACAACTCTCACCGACCATAATGGATACAAGTAAACAACCAATCAATCAAAATAATGAAGTAATCAAAGAAGTAAAATGTTTTAAAATAAATAACTTTACATAAACAGCAGCTGGCAGACTAAAACATAACATTGTTGGTGGATCCGAAATTACGGAAATATCATTGTTTACATTGTTATTTTTGGGAATGACGAACCCGATCGGGATTGTATTTCCAACGTCAATCGTCAGAGGCTCTTTTATTTAAACTCTTAAATCTTCTAAAAACCATGGCCTCCAGGGCAATTCTTTACACCAAAGAATATAGGAAAAAATTTTCCACTCAGACTTTTGACTTACGAGACTGAACTCAGTTAAAAGACAACATTCTGTTGGCGACAATCGCTTTCTTTTATTGATCCAGTTTATAAATCTCTTCTTAGAAGATGTCTTTCAGATTTAAGCTTCTCAGGAACGGATTTGTTTGGGGCATTTTGTTGACAAAAATTATACTAAGAGGGATTGATCGAGAAGTAAAAAACTCAGAAATGCATATTTCCAATATAAATAATTAAAAAAAAAAAATAAATGGCAATGAAATATTATTATTCATCAAAAACAACAACAACAACAACAACAACAACAAAACAAACAAAATAAAATAAAACAAAAAAACCAAACAAACAAACAAACAACAACAACAAAACCAAAACAAAACAAAAACAAAAACTAAAGGTGATTTTTAAGAAGATTCGTTTTTTTTTTTTAGATTTCAAATCATTCTAATTTACGATTCATTAGAATTAAAACATATCATTATATATATCCGAAACTTTTTGAGCGAAACGTCAACACATATCTACGACGGTTAGTGCAAACTCTGCACCAAAGATATACCGCGGCCTTTATTCTCCGTTGTATATGTATGAAAATAAGATTTTCCCGCCGTATCAGAAGATCGATTGAATGATTGTATGTTGTTTTACGTTCTGTTCGAGAATATTTTGAATCTTAGAGAGACGTCATCATATAGGGTGAATTCACCATGCATCGACAAGATCTAGCGATATCGCTACCCACCGAATATTACCAAAATGGAGCTTAACATGTAGTATGTGGTTGAAATATAAATTCTTGACACAATCGTGTGTTACTTATTGAGAAAATATCACTAAAAACGATTTTTCCGAAATAAGTCAAAATTCACCATGGTTCGGACAATATTCACCATGCATCGGACATACGGTATTTTGAACCGAAAAAATATCATGCATTGATCTCGGTGCTTTAAAATTAGAAATGTCGAAACAATTTTATCTTTCATTTAAAAATTAACCTTATAGTTATATTTAAATGACTATTTCGATCCACAAACGTGAAGAGATTTTAGGTGCATCACATCGCCTTAGAAAGGCGTTACAATGCTAGTAATATGCCATCTCGCGCCTTTTTCTCGTGGGTTGTCATCATCCACTTTCAAAAAAATAAATTGAGTCCACTTCTACTAGTCATATATCGATAACTTGTATTTTCACTGAAAATTTAAAGTTTTTATTTTCTATTTCGGCAAAAAATAGCTGCCATTTGGGTTTTATATGAAAATGGAAGTGATTACCCATGCATCAGAAAGTGTCCGATGCATGGTTAATTTGTGTCCGATGTACGGTGAAATAAACATACTTTAGTAAAAAACAACTCTAAAAAATATTCTACAAACATTGAAGTAAAATTTTTTTAAAAAAATTCTTTACAATTATCAACCTTCGAAAAATTTTACATAGGTCCGACTCGTTCCGTTGAAGTCTATTTAAAAGAACGACAACTCTAAAAATTACAAAATCGTAGAATTCTGGTTACTCCCCTTTGATGATGCAAAATATGACGTAATTTCAAGGCCATTCTTATGGTATTTTTATCACAGCATGAAACTAAAAATCGGCATCATTAAAAAGTTTAAATCTTCACCTTTAAGACAGAAACTAGTAAAAACACGGAGACACTCAGGTTCAATGAAAGTTTATTGCTTAAAGTTGTCCGAAGCATGGTATGTGTCCGATGCATGGTTAACTCACCCTAACGGTGAAGAGCTCCAAATTTAGACCTTTACCCGGAACTCAGGGCATGGAGCAGTGAGGGTTCTTTATCGTGCAAACGCCTACCGTGACACGGGGACTCGGTTTTTAAGTTTCTCCCGATTGACCAACAACTTTCACTTCAATTAAAGAACCGAACACCTGGCGAAGGATCAATTGCTACCTTTTTTTTAATCGAATAGAGCATGATTCGAACACACGACCTTCCGATCATGGAGCTACCGTGACGGCCATTTCAGAAGAAAAGTATAAAAATATACAAATACTGTACACCAACTTTTATTCGCGTGCGAGAAATATTCGTGAGTTTCCCGACCTTCCGTAACTCGCGAATAATAATCACCGCTAACTATTTATTTTACTTTGTAGAGAATATTTTCTCACTTCCGAAAATTGATTGTCGCGGATTGATTTCAAACTGACAAATCGCGAATAAAAGATGACGCGAATAATAGTTGGTTTACAGCAAGGGAACAACAAAGTTGAGCATTCCCTTGCAAAGAGCATATCTATAAAATAAAAAGCAGCATTCGACGTCGATCCTGATGCAAAACACATCACTTCCGTTTCGCACAGGACATTAACCCAAAACAAGCACACATACACAGGATTGCATTACTGAGTATATCCCCTCCAATTCCCAATTCCGTTGCCAGGGGTTAATTAAATGATATCGGAGGAAATTCTCAATTATTTTAAAGGATGAGCATTTTCGTTCTATACATGAAACAAAAAATACAAACATTTAAGAAACATTAATCAACCACATTTTGGTAATATTTTCTGTAAGATGTTCAATTCAGAATATTATCCTAAGATATATTTTATGGGGCACAATGACCAAAATTATGAGGTGCTATGGGCAAAATTGGAAAGGTAGAAATTAATTTTCCTCTCTGAGGTAATTGAAAAAAAAACCTTGAAAGCATTGAAGGATTATTTATAAATCATTTTTGGGGATATAAAACTGTTAATAAATTAAATGAGGCTCTTTGACCAATGCTTGGGGACTGATTCCAAACAAACCTACAAACCTTACCTGAGCCTTCTACAAAGGCCAAATTGACCAAAATCATGGTACGTTCTGACCAAATAAGGGGGGGGGGGGGTGCGATTTGTCCATTGCTCTATTTAGATCGTTTCGAAAAAAATGTATAAAAATATATTGAGGCGCATTGATCAAAATTAGGGGGCCTGGTGACCAATATTGGGGGGTAAGGGGGTGGGGGCGGTCTGTCGGGTGTACTCTGTTAAAGTGCGATATATATATATACTGAGAAATTGAAAGAATTAATTATCGCTTATTAATTACGACAGTCAGTAAATCGTAAATTTTCCCATTCTCTCAAAATAGCGTAACTATATATGATAAAAAGAAACAAAAGAAAGATAAAATAGAAGGAGAATTTTAATAAATGATTTTGAAACTATTATGAATTTGGAAATGTTTTAAGACTTTTATCGGATAAAAGAAATAATAAACAAAAGCGTAAGCGATAAACATTGTGTGGGTTGTTTCAGAATTGATAATGCGAATTACCTATAAAGTTTACACAATATGGAGAGAATGGTCTTGTTTTTTACAGTATAATCAGGAATTGGATCTAGTTCACGTTCATTCTGGTGAAGTCAATTAGTTTGTTAATACCATGAGGGCGGAATGACTTCAGTCATTGCATCCAGAACTTCCCCTTGCTTTTTCTCTGAGCGTCTGTCCATGTTGGACAACATGGTGAATAATCTCTGCTGTCATATCCACCCTACGACACTACCGTCGATTGTTTTATTAGGTAAATCTGAGTATTTTCCATTTAGCATAAATGGGAACAAATCCTCTGTAATTAATTCCTAGCATTTGTTCTAGGCCCGCCATATTAAATTTTTATGTTGACGTCACACACCAAAATCTCTATAGCCTCTTGGATGATGGTGGATTTGGTGACCTTCCACCAGTTGTTGGTGACCTAACCTATTGGTTACTCTGGTTACAAACTCTGAACGCAACTATTCTTCTGTGCTTCCAGAGATATGGCATGCTGTTATATATTACATGTTAAAAGCTTTGTGACAAATAGTAAACAAACAAAGATGGTACTAACATACTTCAGTTTCTTTTGAGGAGCACACGAGAGTTTCACATACACACTACATTTTCTATATTAACGTATAGCCAGGAAACAACCTCGATTGTAACTCAATTCAGGGGAAAATCTGCCAACGGCTAGAAAATATACATGTTTGTGGGAGATACTTTAGCAGGAATGATACTTAATTAATAAAAAAAAATAGTTCTGTGAAAACTTAGTGCATACCTACTTTGTATCTTGGCTTTTATTCTTGCAAAAAGGAGCAATTAAGTATTACAAAGTAATTCATTAATCATGAATATTAAAAAAATACTAAAATTGCATAATATCTTTTCTTTACTCCGTTGTTTTGTGGCAATTATTTCCAAAATTTGCCCTTAATTAAGAAAGCACAATTTAACACACTGCACACTTATGAGTTTTATTTGTTGGGTAGTATTAATCAGTTTGATATGCAAGGATTACTAGTTCTTTCTTCATCTTGAATTTTTATTCATACATGCAGTATGCTTCACAAAGTGTACTTACGTTCTTATAACGAATGCCTTATAATTAAGTGATATAAAGCTAATTTTACACTAAAACAGGTGTTTACATTATACAGTGTGTTTCATAATATCTGTGAGATTGTCCCCCATTCACACTTTTATAGATATGTTTAATTTCAAAATATGAGATTTGACAGACATTTTTGTAACAAGGACAGTTGCTATGAAACCTCAGTATATATTTGTTTATCTATTCAGCTGATGCTGTATATGGGCTATTCTAGTTTTTGTAGCTTTCCGCATTTCTGAAGAATTTTGCTCTCGAAGTGACTCTTGAAAAGAGTCTAATGCCCCATGCAAGTCTCCAACAATTTGCTTGCATAT